TCCTCTACTTAACCAACCTGATTAAACTATTTTCGGATGAACATTGATTATTGGATTATTGCCCTGGTTCTTGCCCGTTGACAGATTTTGCGATTGAGCACCGGCGGACTCTCCAAGACTTCAACGGGCCAAATCGTCAACATTCTTGACGAAGATGTGGAAGCCTTTGAAGACGTAAGTTGCTGACCATTGTTTAAAGTTAAAACTTTTGGTTCAACACAAAAAGTTCTCACACCTAGAGCTTTCGACCAGTCACTCTGGTCTTCCTCAGTAGACTGACCCAGTGAAGCTTGTCACGTGGCTTCTTTGAAGTGTGACGTCAACACTGAATGACAGGTATCTGGTAGACGATGTCGGCCCCCGTCGCGGTTCAATGAAGGGTGATGGGCCCTGATGTAAATGGCTTCCTTCGTCTACCATTAGCCTATCTAGATGTAAGGTTCCTGAGATATTGGAATTAGTCTGGAATTAAACTGTCTAGAATTAAGGCTGTTAGGAGATTTTCCGCAAATCACCTGATTCCCTTTTCTATCTATTTCAGGGTTTTGACGATTTCCATGAGTTGTGGATTTCTCCCATTATTATTGTGTTCATCTGTTGGTACCTGCTGTACTACATCGGAATTTCCGTCCTGGCCGGACTCGGCTACATCTTCCTGATGTTAGTCCTCGAAGGAGCCATGATGCCACTTCACATCAAATACAGGTCGGTAGAAACAGCACAGTTTTTTAAAACGTTTTTTTGAAGCAGACCAAGGAACCATTTAATTCATATTTCTTATGAAACTTGACAAAACATATATTTTTAGTTCTATATGCTCGCACATCTATATCTGCGTCAAGAAGCGAAAAGAAGTTGAAAATGTAAATAGTAGATCACATTAGTATGTATAGTTTAAGTGTCATTGCTGTATCCTTTTCCTTGTCTATTCATGACCTGTACTTAGCTTGTTAGAGCACAAACGTACAATGAAGGTCTTTCATTCATTCAATTTATTATGACACTTTTATTCTCTCTGATATTTTTCAGCAATTTGGAAAACGTAACGTCAGACGCGCGTGTGGACAAGTTGAATCAGATTATCCAGTCCATGAAAATGATCAAGCTACAAGCATGGGAGAAACCCTTTAGTGACGTCCTCCAGAATCTCAGGAAGTGGGTTGTTTGTTTGTTTGTTTGTTTGTAATATTATTTGTCTGTACTTGCAATTAGCCCTCCCTGCCTTGTCACACTTGTATCGTATTGTTGCAATTTCAATAAATAAATTTACGGCTGTGGTGCTTAGCGGGATACGGCCAGCCGCGACCGCTATCGGCGGTGTTGGTAGCCGGTGGGACCGGTATAGGGTGACCGCGTTGAACAGGTGACCGCTATAGACACGATTCTTAATGCTTAGGTCAATGGGAAAAATTCAAGGGACCGGCAAAAACTGACCGCTATGGCCAAGTAACCGCTAGTCCCTGCAAAGTGGGGTCGTGTGGCTTAGCGCCAGAGTGCTCGACTCGGAATCAAGAGGTCCCGGGTTGGAGTCCTGCCATTCCACCGATCTTGTGCCCTTGGGAAAGGCACTTTACACGACTTTCCTCACTTCGCTCAGGTGAAAATGAGCATAGTATTGTCCCCTGTGTTGGTGGCGACATTAATATACGTTGAAAAAACTTGACTGTGCCATCACCACGTCTTGTGACTAGATGATGGAATATAAAAGAAAATTATAACAACACGATATTATATTTTTCTTTTTCCAGGGCAGAACTGTGGGCGATGCTGAAGGGTGACATCGTGATGGGAGTACTGGAGGTGCTGGAGTGGGTGGGGATGGATCCCGCAACTTTCCTCATCCTGATGACTTATGTTCTCATGGGCAACGTGCTCACAGCAGAGAAGGTTTGTTTGTTTGTTTGTTTGTGTGTTTTTTGTTCATCCGTTAGTTTATCAGGACTCTATTTATCAAATACATTTTGAAATCTAATTGTCTCAGCAATAGCTGCAATCAATCAATTCAAATATACACTAACTAATATTCCACTAAAATATGGCACATACATATTAAATACGATGAAACATTCCTTTACTAGTATATATATATATATATATATATATATATATATATATATATATATATATATATATATATATGGAATTATGTGAAATGAGAGTGTAATTCATCTGACTGTAAAATATTTTTGCTTGTACAGAAAACCATTCATTTCACATTAATTCATTTCACATTAATCAATGCATTCATTCATTCATTCATTCCAAAGGCGTTCATACTGATGATGTTTCTGGAGGAGCTGGAAGATGCCATCGATGACTTCCCAGAAGCCATGGAGAGCATGGCAGATGTCAAAGTTTCAGTCACTCGACTAGAGGTACAGCTTTTATCAATCAATAAACAATTATTATATTATATTAAAACTTTTCCAAGCATTCCTCATTTTTAACTTCACTGCCCCATATACTCCCAACACCGTGTACGCCTCCTCGATAGACTTATACAATTAAACATCCCATTCTTAGATATTAAGAACATAATAAGCATATTGCTTGAGTTCGTCACCACTATGTACATGTATTGTATTTTTGCATGTTGAAATATAAAAAAAAACTTTTCCAAGACAGTATATTTACAAATATAAACGCAACACAAAAAAATCAGCATCTTGATTTTGTTTGATCATATCTCCATAGATATTGTATTAAATTTATCACATAACCTATCATTAGATAGCCTGGTTTTTGTACTTCAAAATGGTGGCTGCTTCGCTATGGTGACTTTTGTGAGTATACTCTAGGGTCATGAAAGAAAAGTACCACAATTTCCCTTGTCCAGTGCTTTTGCAAGAATTATGCACATACATGTATATAACGTAAAACTTTATATTTCTTCGTTGAGTCCTTCTTTCTCATGACTATATGATTAGGTCTTCGTGCAACAATGTCCACAATGAATTAATTTCGTTGGTGGTCCATCGGTTGTGATGTAACCAAGCAATTTGTAGCTAATTACATATTAAGGACGTGCTGTTGAAAATCTAATTCGGTCTTTTGTTTTGTAGACTTTTCTTTTACTAGAAGAACACCCAGAGTCTGCCATTGATGCTGCTCCCAAAGGTCCGGACGAAAGTCCGTCAGGCGACGTGCTTCCGAAAGGAGTGTCTGTGGACATCAGTAATGCAAAATGGAAGAAGGTTAGTGACGACATCTTAAAATCTGAGATATGAAATCTTAAGATGACCTCTCGACCCAGCCTGATCCATCGATTTTGATGCTCGGTTGTGTATATATATGTTACTTTTGGTTATTTTGTTTACTGTTGTTGGTGTTTATGTATCTGTACAGGGCACGCCTGTAAAGCAGTATATTGTACTGAGTGCGTCTACCCTGTAGAAAGAAGACAGAAATAAATAAATAAATAAATGAATAAAGATCTGATGCCTTTTACAGGAAGTCTTTCTTCCGAAAGACTTACAATTCACTATGCATCTAGGTATTATTTGTATGTCTCTAGAGTTTTGCATTATTTTAATGAACTGTGTTTTATGTTTTTTTTTACCTGAAATAAAGAATGAAATGAAAATGTACGAAATTAGGAACTGCTGAAATTTGGACACCTGTAAATTACAGTTTCATCAATGTTGAAATCAATATATCATTTCGTCCTGAAATTACAATAGAAATGTATGTGTTAATTTAAAAATACATGTTGTATGCACTGTATTATATGTAAAAGGTATAGCCAGTGGAAAAAGGACGTAGTTCTTAATAAGCCTAACTCAAACTCATGTCTCCATCCACGGAAAATTACTTTGTACACTATCTTCAGACAACAACGCTGTCCAATGTCAAGTTCGACGTTAACGAAGGTGAACTGATTGCTGTCATTGGGCCGTCGGGCGCTGGGAAGGTGAGTTGTGTATTTTTATGTTTACCGAAGGAAAGCATATTGTTTTTGCTCAGTTTCTTCCTCTTCTTCTTCTTCTCCAAACAGTGGTCGTTGAAAATTTGATCTCTCTGCAGTCTGCACTGTTGTGTGAATAAATTTAAACATTTTACTATAATTATTACCATCACAGATGAATTTTCATTATATGTTTGGAGTTAAAACTTTTGGTCCAACACAAAAAATATCTATATCTCTCAACTAGAGCTTTTGACCAGTCACTCTGGTCTTCCTCAGTAGACTGACCCAGTGAAGCTTGTCACGTGGCTTCTTTGAAGTGTGACGTGAAGTGTGAGAGATATTTTTTTATGATGGACCAGAAGTTTTAACTCTAAACATGTAACTAATAACATAGATGAACTTTCATGAAAGTTTCATCATAATTTCCAATATTTCAGACCGCTTTATTGTGCACGCTTCTGCGGGAACTTGTGCGGGTGGAGGGTAAGGTGGAGGTGCGGGGAACGGTGGCCTTCACCGCCCAGGAGCCGTGGGTCTACCCCGACACCGTCAGAAACAACATCGTGGACTTCGGGAAACCATTTGACCAAGAAAAGTATGAAAGAGCACTCAGCATCAGCGACCTGAAAACGGTACGTGATAGTCAAAGTGAAAAAAAAATTCGTAACAGGTACAATGTATAGCAAGCTCTTCAGAGTTACTGCATACCTAGCTGATGTTTACTATTGGTATGTAATTATGTTTACCGGAGGAAAACATTGTTTTTGCTCAGTTTCTTCTTCTTCTTCCGTTACAAACACCTAAAAAAATCGATATTTGCGTAATTAGAGCCTGAAAGAAAATGAAATTCAGTATGCTGGTAGGTTGGTAAATAAGACACTGAACTTTGGTCATTTTGGTCAACATAGATGTAAAAAAATGATTTTATTGGCGAAAAAATGGGTGAAAAAAGTTGCATTTAAGCCAAAAATCGAACTTAAGAACCCGTTTCGAATCTTAGAACAACGTTCGAATTCGAAGTTCGACGACCGCGGGTCAATGACCCCAGCGCTACGGAACACCCGGGCTTTTATTAAAAATAGAATGTATGGGCATAAATGGTAGGCAAGACCATCCAGAGGTAAACATATTGCATTTGCTTGCAAATGTTACCTTTCTAGTTTAATGTGTGTTAATAAATCAGTTCATCTAATTTCTTTCAGGATTTGAAGGGAATGCCTTACGGAGATCGGACGTTTGTCGGGGACATGGGAGGCAATCTGAGTGGGGGTCAGAGGGCTCGACTCGGTCTCGCAAGGTAAAATATCTCCTTCATTCATTTAATGAGATACCTTGGCAACAGTTACACAAGCAAATAGATAGATTTTGAAAGCGGTTGCAGGTAGGATCCACTACCTTTGATCATGGACGTTTAGTCAGTACCTTTTTAGTCAAAAAGATAAAAGATAGTGGGTGCTAAGTTAAACTTCTGACCGTTGTTTTTTTTCAACTATATCCAGTTGCCTGAGTAGGATACCACTCAGAAAATCAAGGACTAATCTTGGGGCTTGTTTCTGTAGTTTTAAATACCCAAAGTATGGAATACTGATTCAAATGTGCTAATGTGGGACAGCATTTGCCATATGTCAACATCATACAGATTGCCTTATTCAGAATATTACCAGTTTTGCCCCCCTGGAATTGCATTGGATGCAGTAGTACCTTTAAATGATAAATCCTTGTTTTTCAGAGCCGTGTATGTTGACGCCGACATTTACCTTCTGGACGACCCTCTCAGTGCTGTGGACGCCGCCGTGGGGAGAAAAGTCTTCAACAAGTAATTATATCGTTATTTTGTTCTTTATTTTTTCACGTTTCTTACTTGCAATTATTCATCCGGTAATAATTTGCAATTAACTTTAATTACGATCTGGTTTTGAACCTTTCTTTAACCTTGAAATCGCACAAAAGATACAGAAGCGGGTGTGCTAGGCCGAAGAGCGGTTATACCGGCTATACAGATACAGGTACAGATAATGTATACATGGGTCATATATATATATATATATATACATCTATCATTGTCAGGTGTATCCTGGGCGCTCTTGGAAGTAAGACCCGCATCCTGGTGACACATCAGCTACAGTTCGTGAAGCAAGCTGACAAGGTTCTGGTCCTGGACGAGGTAAGCATTTTTAATATTTTGGTAAAGAAACAATCGTGTAGGTCGGATATACGGATTTTCTTCTTACACAACCTGTAGCGTTTCTGACCGAACTCGCAACCAAGAGGTCCCGAGTTCGAGTCCTTGTGCCCTTGGAAAAGGCACTTTACACGACTTTTCTCACTTAACACAAGTGAAAATGAGTATTGTCTGCCCTGTATTTCTTTCTATGTGTGGGACACAACACCAGCAACAGCTCCCCTTGTCCCTTGTGTATTATATTGTTACAATTTCAATTAATCAATCGAATCAATCACAGGGCGACCAGGTTGCTTTTGGAACGTACGAGGAAGTTGTGGCGTCTGGAGCTGACTTCACGGAACTCTTGTCTCGCGATGACGACTATCCTTCGACGGATGAAGAGCAGAAAGGCTCAGTAGAGAGCTTCTACGGCAGCCGGACCAGTGTGGCGGGAGACGACCCTGAAATGAGCAAGGTAGTAGTAGTAGTAGTAGTAGTAGTAGTAGTAGTAGTAGTAGCAGCAGCAGCAGCAATAGTAGCAGTAGCAGTAGCAGCAGCAGTAGTAACAGTAGCAGCAGCAGTAGTAGCAGTAGCATTAGCATTAGCAGTAGTAGTAGTAGTAGTAGTAGCAGCAGCAGCAATAGTAGCAGTAGCAGTAGCAGCAGCAGTAGTAACAGTAGCAGCAGCAGTAGTAGCAGTAGCAGTAGCAGTAGCAGTAGTAGTAGTAGTAGTAGTAGTAGTAGTAGTAGTAGTAGTAGTAGTAGTAGACTGGTTTATTAGAACTTAAGTTGTTACATGAATGCCTCCTGGCAACCGTAACGGGCTGAATTGTGAGGATGAATTAAGCGACTTAGCTGTTTCAAATCAATTTTTTTTCTTTCTTTCCGAATCGTCCACAGGCTACAAACTTTGTGGAGGAAGAGAGAGTGACGGGAAGCGTGAGCTGGCGGGTGTACCTCAAGTACATCACAGCTGGACCTCCGCGCTGGTTCTTGTTCGTGCTGGTTCCCGTTCTCATTGCTTTTGAGGTAGGACTTTTCGGTAAATAAAGACTGCGTACATTGTGTCATGAAAGTCCATTTGCGTTGGTATATAGTAGAGGGGATTCATTCTTCAAGCTAACCGACATCTTGCACACGCAGTCGTCCCTCAGTAAGACGCCTGGAGCCGCATAGTTCCCGTTTAGAACTTTTATTCAGCCTGTCACACGACCGGTTTCGCCTGTGTGGCTTCTTCAAGTGTACAGAGGCTAATGACACAAGTGCATGAAGTTCTCACTTATATACCTTTCCAGTGCATAGTGCCCTCAGGTCAGTTACATGGCGTTCAGATCGCCCTGACCTGTTACATAGTTCCATTTGCGTTGGTAGTTACATATGTTTGAAGTTAAAACTTTGGTTCCAACACAAAGAATGTCACACATAAAGGACCTAGGTAGCCCCGGAACACTAGGCGACCAAGGTCGGCTGAAGTTTGGGAGCAGCTTTTGCTAAACGTTTGTCCATATATTTTGTAAGCATGTGGGTCAATGGAAGTCTTAACTGTAATCTTCCAATGCTATTTCAGGCTCTTGACGTGCTGGGAGATTGGTGGGTCGCTCACTGGTGAGTAACTCAGGCCTTTTTTATTATATCCACTATATGTCTGTACTGCTTGATTTAGGCAGCTATAATTCTTTTACAATGTTTGTCAGATACCGTACACAATCCTTGCAATGGGGTGCAGTGGGGTCGTGTGGCGTAGCGGCAGAGTGCTCGACTCGGAACCAAGAGGTCCCGGGTTCGAGTCCTGACACCGATCTTGTGCCCTTGGGAAAGGCACTTTACACGACTTAACTCATGTGAAAAATGAGTATTGTCCTGTCCTGTATTTGTACCCTGTGTTGGTGACGGCATGAAATAATTTGATATAACCTGAGTGTGTCGTCACCATGTTTGGTCATAAATGGTTGGAATATTTAAAAAAATTATTGTAATCAGAGCATGTTTTGGCTGATATCCCCACAGTTTTTTCCCATTTGTATCAAATAGTCCCACAGTTTTTAAAAGGTCTTTCATCCATTGTCTATTCCTTCCACAGGGTGGACACCCTCGTTAAGGTGAACAAAACCATGCCGAACGGACAACCCCGGATTCTCCCAGATCCCGTCTCCATCTATCACCTGAAAGTGTACGCGATCCTCGAGGGTGTCGGCATCTTGCTGTCCATCGCAGCTGCCGTGATGCTCATCTACGCCACCTACATAGCTTCAGTCAACATCCACAACATGATGTTCAACGCCATCGTCAGGGTGCCCATCAGCTTCTTTGACAAGAACCCCAGTGGTAAGTTTAAATCATACTTCTAGTTTATCGATACAAAAAAGTAGATTTGAATACATATTATCACTTGTGAAGTTGTGAAACCCCCTGCATGCTATACATACGGATATATATTTAAGACTGTATAGATATTAGAAACTAGTCTCCATCAGCCTCATTTGCAGGCTGAAAAGATGGTAGGCATCGGCCTAAAAAGGGGACTGATTTTATTGGCCATAGGAGTTCGCCTGGCAGGCAAATGCGCCCTCTCTGGCCGGCCTCTGGCCAATTCAATCCCCTTTTAGGCCGATTTCTACTATTTATTCAGCCAGCAAATGAGTCTGGTGGAGACCACTGGAGTACGGCTTCCTTGAAGTTGTCAGGTTGGAAGGCATGACATGTAGCATACGGTTTACGGCGGATCAAACTAACGTTGTTCTTGTTTAAAGTTAAAACTTTTGATCCAACACAAAAAATTCTCTCACCTGGAGCTTTCTACCAGTCACTCTGGTCTTCCTCAGTAGACTGACCCAGTGAAGCTTGTCACGTGGCTTCTTTGAAATGTGACGTCAACACTGGGTCAAAGAAGTGTCAAAGGTATCTGGTAGACGATGTGACTGGTCGAAAGCTCTAGGTGAGCGAATTTTTTGTGTTGGACCAAAAGTTTTAACTTTAAACATGCAACTACCAAGTTACACAAATGAACTTTCATGATAGTAACGTTGTTCTTACCTGCACTATTTAGGACGGATTCTGAACCGGTTTTCGGACGACTTGGAAGCGGTGGAAGATGACATCCCCGAGGAGATCATGGACGGCACCGAGGTTCGTGTCGTTTATTCAAGGCCCTAGTAGAAAGGATTTGCAGCTCAACTTACTCAAGATCACCAGTGGCTGTGCATTCAGTACGCATCGCTTCTAGCCTAGAAACCATCCTCCATAGTTAGCCTAGTAACCATCCTCCATAGTTACCGCCGGATCTCTCTTTTCGCCACTGGCCAACACGGCCTGCGACAAAACAGTGCCACGGAGGATGGTTCCTAGGCTAGAAGCGATCAGACAGTATAATAAGTGTGCACGTCACTATTCATTAACTCAAAGACTAATGACATGCAAAGTACTTCAATAGACTACCAGCTGAAGTAAGGCAGATTCAAACCTTAAAACACTTCAAGGCAGCTTTAAAGACGACCTCTGACCTCCAATCATTTTGAACGGAAATCGATTTACGTTGATTATGATTTGAAGTTATGTTTTCTTGTAAATTTCCTCAGTTCATGTTAAACTTCGTATTATTCATTTATTTATGTATAACTTCCAGTTATATTGATTTCATTTACATCTTTTGTTATGTACTTTGTATAATTTATTATTCTTTTACTTATTGTACCCCCCTGGGCCTCCTTGGAAATCAGCTTTGGCTGAAGGAGCTACCCAGGTGTCTTTGAAGATTAAATAAATAAATGAATAAATAAATGCTAAAAACACACCACCCTTACCGACAATACCCTTCCGCGGAAGGATATCTTACAGCCATATTTCAGGAGGGAATATTCTTGAAATAAAAAACAGCTTAGCGTTTGATTCGATCATCGTGCACAAATAGTGAAAAAATAGTGATGCCTCTTTTTGTTCTTCTAGGCTCTCCTGGGGCTCATCGGTTCGGTCGTGATGATTTGCATCGGCAACCCTTGGGCCATCCTGCCGACCATCCCGCTCGCTGTTTTCTTCATTGCCATGTACATCTACTACATAGACACGGAGCGGCACCTGGGCAGACTCGCAGCAACAAGTAAGGATGTTAACAATTCTTGACAAACTTTATTCAGGTAAAGAAAAACATACAAAACAAAAACTTAAACAAGAATATACATTGTCAAATAAATACATGGTCGATCGGTTCAATATGGCCAACTGCCGCCGCGCCGCGTGCCTGCGAAGCCGGTGTGTTACGTCTTGAATCAGTCAAAAAGGTTTGGAGAAAAAGCATTTTTTTTTACTTTCATCGCCTGTCCAGCCTCCAGCCCCATCTATACGCACGTGTCCGCCATCTCGAACGGACTGTGGACGATTAGGGCTCTGTCTGCGCAAGAGAGCTTCAAGAGGCGGTTCAGGCGTATTGTGGATAGGCACAACGAGGTTGAATTCGTGGACTTGGCGAGTGAGTCCTGGTACGAGGTCCGAGTAGAGCTACTGGACGCCGTCTTCGTCACCTGCGTCACTTTCTTATGTATATTCTCGTCACAAAGTAAGTCCATTGTTAATCTATCATGAAAGTTCATCTGTGTTGGTAGTTACATGTTTAAAGTTATAAAACTTTTGGTCCAGCACAAAAAATTCTCTCACCTAGAGCTTTCGACCAGTCACTCTGGTCTTCCTCAGTAGACTGACCCAGTGAGGCTTGTCACGTGGCTTCTTTGAAGTGTGACGTCAACACTGGGTCAGAGGTATCTGGTAGACGATGTCGGCCCCCGTCGCGGTCCATCGTTAATCTAAACCACTTTTATCATTTTTATCATAAAAGTTCATCTGTGTTGGTAGTCATAGTAAAATGTTGAACTTTATTCCAACACACAGGTTAAAATTTTCAGCGACCACTGTCGCCTTCATCAGGATAATCAATCTCGCGAGTCTGTAACCGTAACTCTCGCGAGATTTTGTTTTGAAGTGTCATTCATAAAATTTACTTTCTGTGGCCAAGTGCATTCAACATCAGTGATGCTTTTGAACTCATGCTGTTTGTTATTATATTATATATTGGAAAAGATGGGACATTACGTCTTCCATAGCTTACAAAGGAGAAGACAAATACTTCAGACATAGTTTTAGACATAGCTATAGCTTAATACTATTACCTTTTATTACGTAGATTTTGAAGTTATTTTGTACTTTGTGTAAATGTTCTTCATCCTTTGTTCTCTGCAATTAGCCTTCGGGCATGAATTTGCAATAAACTTATCGTTATTCCCCACCCGCCCAGATCTCGGTGCCGGACTTGTGGGTCTTGTTCTGACCTACACTCTGGACATGTCCGAAACCGTCGAGGATATTATTGAGTCCTTGACAGAAATGGAGAGTGTGGTGAGTACATTTGGATTTGAAACTTTCATGTTTTCTGTCTTATCCTTTTCTCGAAGCTACAGACTCGTTGTAGTGCTGAATGATATAGCTTGAGTATGTCGTCACCATGTCTAGTCACGAAATGTTGGGTTTGGTTTTCCTTTGATGCCCACGATCATGATAATGATCATTCTGGCATACTCATTTTCACCTGAGTGAAGTGAGGAAAGTGCCTTTCCCAAGGGCACAAGGTTGGTGACGTGGCAGGATTCAAGCCCGGGACCTCTTGGTTCTGAGCCAAATTCTCTGTCGTTACGCCACAGAACTCCACTACGCCACAGAACCCCACAATGTTGGAATATATTAAAAGAATTGTTTGTTTAAAGTTAAAACTCTTGGTCCAACACAAAAAATTCTCTCACCTAGAGCTTTCGACCAGTCACTCTGGTCCTCCTCAGTAGACTGACCCAGTGAAGCTTGTCACGTGGCTTCTTTGAAGTGTGACGTCAACACTGGGTCTCTGGTATCTGATAGACGATGTCGGCCCCCGTCGCGGTTCAACACCATACCAACACAGATGATGAACTTTCATGATAGTAAAAGAATTCTTGTATGTTTAGATGATCCACGCTGAAAGGGCTTTCGAGTATGCGGAGCTGACGCCGGAAGCGCCTTGGGAGACGGACGACAAGCCGCCGCCGGACTGGCCGGCGTACGGCGCCATCGACTTGCGCGGAGTCAGCCTCTCTTACGACAAGGACGGACCTGCCGCGCTGAAGAACATCAACCTCAGCATACACGGGGGAGAGAAGGTGAGCTTTCTGCATTAAAATACCTCGTGCTTCCCTCCACAAGATGTTAACACGGTAAAACACCACACACTGTTAGAAAGGGAGCAGGCACGGTATTGTCGAAGGACCTGCCGTGCTGAAGAACATCAACCTGAGCATACACGGGGGAGAGGAGGTGAGCTTTCTGCATTAAACTACCTCGTACTTCCCTGCCCATACAGCGTAAAACAGCACGGTCAGTATGAAAGGCTACTGACAGTCGTGAAGAGAAGGAAACTTACATGTAATGAGATCACATGGACTGTCAGAAATGATCCTTCAAGGAACAGTAAAGGGAGCAAGAAAAAGGGGAAGGCAAGAGGGAAAGTGGGCTGACAACTTTCACGAATGGACAGGGAAAAACTTTGCGGAAATCCTAACCCTAACGCACAGCCGAGAGGGATGGAGGCAGATTGTCAGACACTCCACTATGCAGTGCCCCCACGGCCCTGGCCTGGGTTAAGGGACCAACACTGTGTCAAATGTATCTGGTAGACACAATAGTGATGGGCTCTACAGGAAAACATAATTCTAACAGAGCATATCTTCATTTCCAGGTGGGTATCGTGGGCCGTACCGGCGCGGGTAAAAGTTCTCTGATGATGGCGCTGATGAGGCTTGTAGAACCGACAGGCAGTATCCGGATAGACGGGGTGGACATCGCCAAACTCGGGCTGCACGATCTCAGGAAGAGGATCTCCATCATTCAGCAAGATCCCGTCGTCATCCAGGACTCCATCAGGAAAAATCTGGATCCCATGGAGATACACTCAGATCACGCCTTATGGACAGCACTAGATGAGGTAAGATTGGTTAACGTCTGTCACCCTGGTAACTGGTGTTGGGTTACATAATGTTGCAATCTTATAGCAGGAGGGATTTAGACTCCTGTCTGACCATATATATGAATGTATTTGAGTAATTTGTATATAGTAGAGGGGATTCAATCCTCAAGCTAACCGACATGCATCTTGCACACGCAGTCGTACCTCAGTAAGACACCTGGAGCCGCATAGTTCCTGTTTAAAACTTTTATTCAGCCTGTATTTCAGTAATTTATTATTCTTTCTTTGTGTACGTAGGTTCATCTTGCGGCAGATATACGGAGGCTTAAGAAAGGGCTGGACACGTTTATGGGGAAGAGCGGGAAGCTGAGCGTTGGGCAGAAACAGCTGCTGTGCCTGGCGCGGACTGTGCTGTCCTACAACCGCATCCTGCTGTTCGACGAGGCCACAGCCAACATCGATCTCAGGTACGCTGCAGTTCTCATTGTTATTATGGCTTCACCATGTATTATGGCTTCACCATATATACCACTATGTGGTGAAGTCATATTGTTTTTCCTCGTGTTTCTTCTCCTCCTTCTTCTTCTTCTTCTTCTCCTTTCATTTCTTTAAATTGATTCAACTCCTTCATTTTTGGGCCAAATAACATGTTTCTACTGCATGCTCTTACAGTGGTTCCGACAAAGGCCCTGGGAGTTCTGGCAAAGAGTGCCGCTCCAGGGATGTCGAATTCGGAAGATTCGAGGACGAATCTTGAAAAGAATCTTGAAAAGAAAAGGGACCCACTGTTGTAAAATAATAACACAATGTGTAAAATAACTTCTGGCCTGGTTGTTTTGCAGAGCGGACCGACTGATCCAGACGACTATCCGGGAACGCTTCAAACACTGCACCGTGCTGACCATCGCGCACAGACTCCACACCGTCATGGACTCCGACAGAATATTGGTATGTATGCAAACACAAACAAGCAAATCATGGAATTTATCTGCGCATCTGTTGGTTGTAATCATAATACAATGCGAAAACTCACATCCACACTGCATCCACACTATTAAAAAGATTGAATACGAGATCAAGTTGCTACTCTGTGCTTTTTTTTCATATGCTGACATGTTGGTATCCTTTCGGCGACATTATTATGTTTACCAAAGGAAGACATATTGTTTTAGTCCGTTTCTTCCTCTTCTTCTTCTCCAGTGACATATGACCTGCCCAATGACCTGATTTGTTGACGTCTGTCACCATGGTAACTGGTGTTGGAAAACATAATGTTGCAATCTTATAGTAGGAGGGATTTAGACTCCTGTCTGACCATATATATGAATGTAATGGAATTAATCATTTACTTTCATTTCCAGGTGATTGAGGACGGTCGCGTGGCAGAGTTTGACGAGCCGCACCTCCTACTGACGGAGCGTCCGGACGGCGCCCTCGCCAGGCTGGTGTCGGAAACCGGGGAGGCCATGGAACGGGACCTGCGAGAGGCCGCGCACCAGAGCTATCTACAGAAACACGAACAGAAGAAGTCACAGTAGCGGCCCAACAAGCTAACCGTCCAGATCAACGAATCGCGTGATAGATATAGATAGCGATAGATAGATAGATAGAGCTATCTGTTGCTGTTAGCCTGTCCGGGGGGATACTGTACTTTCAGGGTACTAGCAACAGATGGAATTTCATGGTGCTTATCAAAAATGTTATAAAATGTTATAAAAATAGACCTCTGTATATGAGTCCATGGCATAAAGGAAACTACGTATACTCGTGCAAAGATTCATTTTTCGACAGTTAAAAATTGCCGTTGTGGCATGAACAAGAAAGGTGTAATAAGTACTCCAAGGTGGCGCATGGTTGCCTTTAAAAATTATGAATTTATTTGCATATTCTCTGTACGATTTGTAATACTGGTTAGCGTAATATTGGTAGCGTCAGCCCTTAAGTTTACCCTACGGTTAGCTAATATGACAGTGTCCTACTTAAAACAGTGCACTTTGGAGGAAAAATAGTTGAAGTGCTTGGCCGTATAGTTATAATGTTTGGGAGCGTACAGAAGGCAATGGGTTTTATCGAAGTAGAATAGAATAGAATGTTTTCGTGGGCAGGTGCTAAAATTTTACAGTGTGTCCGCGAAGCTTAATTAGGCAGTTTGTCGGAGAGTGTTGAGCGTTAGATGTTGTAGATAGAGCAAATGCGCAAATAGTTAACGACTGTATGAAAAAAAGCTTTAATTTCCAACACTAACTACAATGAATTGTGACGTACCCAAAATTTTAGCCCAATTCATTGTAGTAAGTGTAAGCTTAGTCTTTATTTCATAATATTTCATTGTAGTAAGATAAAGCTTCGTTTTTTATTTCATAATGACTTTGGCAAGCAGCAGGGCTATGATGTAAGCATCGATAGAAAAGTCTGTATTTTAATTTACAGATGCCAACGTGAAGCCGTCCAAAAAGGTTGGAAAACGGGAGGGGGTGTTGCTGAAGTATTGGAATCTACTTAAATATGTATATTTTTTATGTACAGTATAAAGGTAAATTTTTTGTATTACTAACTATATTTTAGATAAATGCATGTAAGTCAACAACCTGAAATAAAAGCAATATCGTACGTACGGTGGATAAATTTCGTGCAGTACTGTGTACAACTGCTGCGCAATAAAGTTCATTCATTGTACACGCACATACATATCTGCGAACTTCTATCTCAAATGGGTTGCTAGAAGTAGTATAAATTTGCCAATTATACAGAATAATGTGTGAGAGGAGTAGAAATGGGTTGACTGTTATTTTCTTTAAAATAGAAACATATATTTGCTGGACCCTAATGACGTAATGTGTGTGCTATTGAAATGGGGAATCAAGTATACATTTTTTTGCAACCGAAGGTAGCCTTATGTAGGCCCTAGCGAGATACGTATGAACTGCATATTTTGGTCACTATGCTGACGCAGTAGTGCGAAGGCAATGCATTGGATCACTCCAAGCCTACAGCCAAATCCCAGTGCACCTTATCAGCCAAGGCCTGGTCACAGGACCACGTTCACTTCCTTCCAAGAACCCATGTGGAAGTCATCGTACCACAACACTATAGGCTATACTTAAGACTTCTAAGAATTGGACTTAAAGCTAAATCACATTGCTTGCTATTGTTCTATTTTTGGATCGAATGCTTGGTGAAATGCAGTAATCACACTTACAAATGATTTTTTTGTTTATGATAAACAACGAAGTAAACAATGAAGAAAAAAACATACACAAGATACAGAACAAAAGCTGCACAGTTACACAGCGCTTGGCAATACTTGGTTACTTGCCTAAATAAATAAACAAGGAAAACAACAATTCAAGCTGATCTAAAGATACATATCTAGAAATAGAGGATGAATCTACACCCCCACATCACAATGGTTCAGTCTGTTATCGAGTTAAAACCAATCCAGACCAGTTCAAATAAACATCGAGGGCATCAAATCCGTTATCATCGCGTTTGAAGACAACATTTAACTCTGCTCTCGCTTACAGCAAGCTGCATATAACTTGTAAGTCATCAGAGAACATACGTACATCTCCCTGGTACGTACCAAGATGGGAAAATGGCCCGTGATTGTGGCAGCGATTTTGCTAGCTGTAAGCACGACTGTTACAGGGAAGCCGTTCTCCTTACTCGGTAAGTGTAAAAGGTCGTCAATTATCACTTGTGATAAAGAGTTGTACACAATAGTCTGTGCTGGGAAATGTTGAGATTTGGCAGAAGCTGGAGTAAATTCTGATAGAGAACGAACGTCATTTTGAAACAGTGCACAACAAAGGGATCTGTGGGACCGGGAAGTAAAAATCAAACACTCAAGACTTACTTGCCTCGTCCTTTGCACACACAAAATCTGTTGTATCGTATGTTTTTCTTCTCGTGTCCTCCTTTATTAGTCCTATATTTGTTTGTAAATGTGCGGTCCCCTGTTACTTCTAGTTATATGCACACTAATATTAAGTAACCCCTACATAATGGGCTCAGCAGTATATCAAATTGAATGATGATGAACATGTGGTCATATCATTTCCTCATTCTGTTGCCAAACTTTGATTAAGAACAGGCTGACATGCCTATAGCTCATCGGTCAATGACCGATGTCTCAATGGAGTACGTTTAAAATGTTAAGTGATCAGTTAACCATTGATAGTTACTGTTGCAAAGTTATTTTGCAGTTACTAGCTTCGCACGTGTCTATCTGTGACTAGTGTGTGCTTCAGGCCACAACATTTCTCAATGGAGAGGCTGACTAAAACATGCAAAGACTAGAACAGTAGAAGAACGTTTGCACCGGAAACGTGCAAAACACATCGTTGAACCTTTGGACTCGCCGTAATCTACTAGTTGTTTGTTTCACCTTTTAAGACCTTTGGCCAACAACGTAGATAATAGATAGGGCTTGTTTTTTTTTTGCATCCAGTAATCGGCCTTGGTCGATAACTGTCGATAAACATACCAACAGTTGAAGTAATGCTATACGTTAACTTAATGTATCAATAACTAGCATGCAAAGCCAGTGAATAACATGTATACAAGTGGCGCATGCACTATGTCATACTGAAATTCAGTCTATCAATCCACAGTATTCCACCCCCCCCCCTCCCCATTGATAGACAACAATAGCGTGGGTCGTGAATTGGATCTTCTCTGGTCGGCTACCTCCCCTGGTATATCCCTTTATTTCGGCCAATTTCTACTATTTTTCCAGCGATCCGCGGTGCCTGGTAGAGGCTAAGACAACAATAGGACACTGACTAAAGAGAATCAAAAGCGTGTGGTTTAAATGACGAAGTTTTGTGTTATGTTACCGTTTCTACAGAAGATGTGCTTCGCTTACCTGAAAGGGAAAATGCAATGTCGGACATATTCGCCGCAAATGAGGGTGGGTTACCTTCAATTACATGTATTTGTATTAATCGTATTTGCCAACCCATATGTGAAAGCTAATTTCAATACTATCTAATAGTAGTAGAAGAAGTAGTAGTAGTAGTAGTAGTAGTAGTAGTAGTAGTAGTAGTAGTAGTAGTAGTAGTAGTAGTAGTAGTAGTAGTAGTAGTAGTAGTAGTAGTAGTAGTAGTGGTAGTAGTAGTAGAAGTAGTAGTAGTAGTAGTGGTAGTAGTAGTAGTAGAAGTAGTAGTAGTAGTAGGTTTGGGTATACTCTAGTCGAATGTTCAACGTTTCTAAGTTTTAATAGGCCCCATACAGAGGCTCAAAATTATTTTGTACCATCCTTGTATACATAAATAATGTAAGTACATCACTAGACGTGTTTTTAAAACGCAGGAGCTATGGAAAGGCTGAATCTGGTAGAAGGAGACATACGGATGCCGGTAAGTAATATTACGATATACAGCAAAAGTGGTCGGTTATTCTAATAATAACCAACCACTTTATGGTTACGGCCTGATAACCAATTGGAAATGGAGCCTTCTGATTGGTCGGCGTCTTCCGGCTATATGAAAATGAATGAATGAATGAATGAATGAATGAGTGAGTGAGTGAGTGTGTGAGTGAGTGAATGAGTGAATGAGTGAATGAATGAACGAATGAACGAATGAATGAATGGTACATGTTTTATATAGCTCTGTCTAAAAGTGTAAGTACATGCCTGTATGTATTTTATTTCAAAGGGCTCTCCTGGGCAGAGGAATAAAGAATAGAAATGAATGAATGAATGAAAATGAATGAATGAAAATGAATGAATGAATGAATGAATGGAATGAATGAATGAATGAATGAATGAATGAATGATACTATCTATCGCCTACAGGAGGATGAGGGACCCCACCGCCTTCACAAGAGGAACGCGGTGCCGTATAAAGACAACACATGGACCAACAAAGTCGTCCCGATCTCTGTCAGCCCCGATCTGCGTACGGTGAAATCTTTTCTCTTCTATGTGTTTCATTTTTTCATTTTTAAAAAGAGAGAAGAAACAATGGTTATAAGTAGATAAACAATAGTACACCATGTTATCTTAATAGATAGAATTTTAATATTTAGCGTTAGAATGTAGTATTGTTAGTGTTGAACTGTTCTGTACTCATGTCTATTGAGTTTATTGAGTTAAAACTCTTCTTTAGCTGCCCACCCGAGGGTGACAGCTATTCTTCCAGGAGAGAGTATACACATAAACGTAACAATACATCAATATGTACATATATACATCAACATACACAATACATACAAATATACAATACAAATGTCTTACATACACATGGTCACATGTTTATTTAGTCCACCTGAACAGGAATATGAAATAAGTATTAATAACATATCTATAACCTTTGGCTTGTACACCATGTTCTGAATATGCTATGTTAATAATTTTTGCGTTAAAGATATCTCTCGTGTTTTTTTTTCATCGCTGAAAAAATTCTGTCTTTAACTGTCAGCTCCTGCAGCACATATTGCTGTTCAAGAGGCGATTGACGAGTACCACAAGAAAACCTGCATCCGGTTCAAACAGCGCACCAACGAGCAGGAGTACATACAGGTGTTCAAGGGCGAGGGGTAAGTAGAGTTCCGCCATCTCATACCTTCACCAAATAATGAGTAAAGAGACTCTCACAGATTTTTCAAATGCACAATGTAATATTACTGCCTGCATATCCTACTCCTATCCATAT